CCCACGGGCCCATGTCCCACTCGAGTTTGTGCGGGGTTGTGCTTACATTCGATGCAAAACTTTCGGGGCTGCGCTTTGATGGTGGAGGGCTTGTGGTTGCCCACAGACTAGGGGCCTGGCCGTTAATCGACCTGGCAAACCGTAGGATCGTGTCGGTGTAGACGTCACTGGCGAATCGGAGCACAGTATGACCGTCGACACCGGTATGTTCAAAGTTGATCCCGGCACTACCGTTCTTGCAGACGATGATCTGCAGCTTGTCATACCATCGGTTTGTGCAGGTTCCTATCTGTACACCTTTCACCACCTCATTGGTCCCGCATAGCATATTGGCGCATAGCTCAGCAGTGTTTGACGGTTCTGTGGAATCCAGACACAAAACAAATAGAGCAGTATCGACGATATTCAAACACTCCGCATTGTTAGATCCCGGATCTTTGGTCAGGATATCTCTCAAGCCTGACCAGATTTTCCGATTCTCCGTACTGAGCACGCCAAGCGCCCCCTTAGCAGCCTCCTGGATTGGCGTCTGCTCTGCATCTTCGATAATTACTTGAAGATTAAGAGAGATATCCCTTTCACTCATAAGAAGGTCATTATTTTCGTCAAGAACGTCGAACCAGTAAAATTGGCCTCGGCATAGGACCACCATATGTTTAGCAGCCGAATCTTGACCAATGATGCACCCATTCTCCGTTGGGACTCGTGCTGTGCCAAATAATCTCGAATATTGAAACATGCAAAGTGGTTTCCCACGGACTATATCGGGAGCCAACTCCTCTCTTCGAACAGCTCGAACGAACGATAGCGCGGACACTACCAACGACGCTGCGCGAGTGACCTGGTTGTTCCTGGAAGGAGTGGGATCATCCTCCAAGAGGAAAAATGGATTGAGATTGAGGACAACAGCTACCTAAGTGTTAGCCGCATATCTCTTCGATCCACGCCGCAGTACTGCCGAAAAAGAAACCATGTTTCCAGGAGGAAACTTACGATTGTCATAATTCAAATAAGAATCGTACCCTGAAAAAAATAGGTCAATAATTTTTCTGGACTCGCCACATAAAGCAACAATAAATACATCGAATGTTAGAATAAACTCACAAAATTGCTCAATATAACTCGACTTCGACGTAGCATATTTCTTCAGCTTATTTTGTAATTCCGGGCCGTCTGTCCTGAGAAACTCGTGTACAGCGGCTCTCGTCTCCTCCCGCTCCCTAGCGGACTGTAAAGGAGCCAGACACTCCAGATATCTGGTGCATGTGGTTTCGAGATCTGGGATCGGGAGCTTGGGGAGCGAGTCTTGGTTTGCAAAGGTTATGCCTTTGTGGACCGTCTGAGGCGGGTTAGAGTTGGGATCCGAGTTGGAGTTGAAGTTCGCATCCTCCGCTCCAGCCATGGCGCTTCGAAGCGTTCCCTTGGTCTCCGAAATTCCGTTTGGAAGTTTGGGGTTTTTCGACTTTGCGTCTTCAGCCAGAGTCTCCCCTAAGGGTTTGGGCTTAGTAAAGAACCGGACTGCCAAGGTGGAGTATGACATCATTATTTTTTTCAACTGGTTAGCAAAAAGAAAGCGCTAGCATTAAACCAAAGGGGGGGGGGTTCTAAGCGTAACGAGAGGCAAGGAGGGTGGGTATTGAAAGGAGTCGCAGGGCACTGCGGTAGAAATAGTGGCAATCTTGCAAACAATAAGACGGCATCGAGGCAGTTTAAAATTCTGGCAAAAGTAGAAGAGTGAAAAGAGGCAAAGTGGACATGATCCCTTTTTACAAAGACAGTATAAGTAAAGTGCCTGGTCCGGAAAAGATGGCAGATCCGCGATATTTTCTCCCTGTACGCAGTAGCCTAGAACCAGATGAGATGGGGAATAGAAAGTGGGAGAATGAAGGTCTGTGCTATATATACGAACAGCAACAAAGAGCGATACACTACTGGCGCTTCCCGCAGTTAACCCCACGACCTGGAAGAATGATACCAGAGGGCAGCAGCAGGCAACCCCGGAACACGTGAGGTTGGGGGAGGGGGGATGACGGGGCTGAAGGAGGTGCGTGGATGACGCTCAAGCCAAGCGGAGGAACCGATGAGGGAGGAGAGAGCTCACCTCTTGGGGAAGAAAACACCGAAGAGGACCGGCCAACGCTTGGGTGAGAGAGTCTGTGACCGACAAGATAACTCGACAAGGTGCGCCGTAAGGGGGAGGAGATAAGCCTGAGGCAACGCGCCTGGGGGTGTATCGGGGTAACGGATGGGATGGGTAGCAGTAGCTAGCGCAGGAGCGAAGTATATCAGACCAGCTCGCTGTGGAGCAGCTTCACGAGGATGAGGAACCTATTCGCCAAAGTTAGACGTGGGACAAGTCTCATCGTTAGTTACAGATATGCGCGTGAGGTACTACGGGGTTGAGACTGGGAGCAAGAGTGCACTAGATGTTGGTGGTAACTAGTAGTTAGTGGTAGTGGTGTGTGGTGGTGGTGGTGGTGGTGGTGGTGGTGGTGCAGGATGTGAGGAGTGAGTGGTTGTGGTTGTGGAAGCAGAGTTGAGGCTGCAAAAGCATCACACCCCGCCTGTCAGCTGCAGGTTCACAACTTACTGTGCCTAACTGCCTAGTTACCTAGTTACAGTTCAGAACATCCCTTTGACACGGATAGAGCTTAGAGGAGCAACAGAAGATCAGTATTATTAATAACGAGAGATTCACCCATATCTATGTATAAGGATCTGTCTATGAGAACTAGCAGAACAGATACTTGTCTCTTGCCCGCTTCAAATCCCCACATGCATATGCCAACTTGCCAAGCAGTACTCCGTAGGATCCTCTCCAAAGTCTTGGTAGTTAAGCACTAAGAATTTAAGGTGTAACTTTGTTACAGGCATAAAGTATTCCCATTCCCTTTCTTAAGGAGGTTAATGTCTGTGGCACCTGAATAACCAGCGACAGCTTAACTAAAGCTAGCCTAAATCCCAGGGGCTGGAGAATGGAATGATAACAGTATCTTAAATTCTTAGCGCTAATCAAAACTTTTGAGAGGACCCTTGGATCCTTCGTATAATGATTGATGAAACAACCGACCTTTGAAATGAGCTTCTTCATTCCCTGTGGTCGGATTTTCTACTCATTGCACGAGATTGAATCGGCTTAGTCATTATTCTACATAATTCTTTCTATAATATCAGGCCATCTCATATTGTGTTTTTATGACTTTATGGTGGTTTTTTAAACCCACATAGTTACTTTCTTGCAAAATCCACCCACCCGCTGCTGCTAGAGGATGCGAATTCCCGCCGCTAAACAAAATCGCCCGAGCACACTCCGCCCTGCTTATTTATGATTATTCTAACTTAAGTAACACCCATTATTCTTGCTGCTGCAAGCTGGCAAATTAGCATCGTAGCACCGCACAATCCAGTTGTCACCACCCTTTTATCCCCGCCCGGCACGCGCCCGTCCGTCCGGCTCGGGCGTGAGGAAAGAAAAAAGGGCTTCGCTTCTGCGGAGTGCTGCTACCTATTCTCAGCAATTTATACGGAGTACGGTAGTCCCCCCTTTTTGATAGGGACGGCCGCACTAAATTATAAGGCACGGCTCAGCAATTGGCTTTCCATTCATTAATACATAAAAAAAACTGGAGGTAGAAAGTAGTGGTTGAGAAGAATAATGAAAATATAGAAAATTAGTTCTGTGGTAAGCTTGTCACAGTGGAGATCTTCTTTCAAGGCCACTCGCAGTCCCTGAAAAAAACCCATCCGTCATCGTGGAACGGTGGAAGTGCTCAGATGTCCAGAGGAAAAAAGCTGAAAATCTGAGCACTCATCACCGTGCACTTTAACTTACCTTTTTTTTGGGGGGGGGATCTCAAGCCACAACCACAGCCAATTAGTTAGTGATGAAAAAAAAAAAAAAAAAAAAAAAGCCAACCGGCCGCATCATCCTTCTAGAACAATGAGGAACAAAAGCTGAGACAAATAATCTAATTTATTTTCACCTTCTACGGTAAAAAAAACAAGGGGGGGGTCCAATGACGTCTCCGGGAAAGTTGTGGAGTTCATTGCGATATAAGGGTTCCAGTAGCGATCAGTCAACGACGAAACAGTGGTTGCCCAACTGGGTATATCAACTTTGAAAGCTGTAAACATGACGCCCCCGTCTTATCCAGATTAATCATTAACTGTAGATATCCTTCATATACGGCTAAATGGTATCTCAAATGTTATTAGAATATTAATGAAGGGGAAACGCCCGCTCAAAGCAAACAAGAAAGAAAGAAAGAAAAATGAAACGCCATGCAATGCAATGCAATGCCGTGCCGCATACAGCAGAGCAGCCAATATGTAAAAAGAAAAACGGAAACGAGGTAGTAGAGGTAAAAAAAATCTCCCAATAAAGCATTCCCGCCGATCAGGCAAGATACTTCTTCGTAAACACATTCCTCGTCCACCCGTCCTCGCCCAGAACAACCTTCCTCTCCAACCGATACCTGCCCAGCCGCGGCATCAACTGTGCCCAGATGAGCCAGTAAACGCCGCCGGCGAGCACAATCGCAATCCCCACGAGGCAGTGGAGGTAGTAAGGGAGCTCATCGTAAACGTTCTGGTCGCCCGTTGGCGGCACGAAGGGGGCGATGACGAGATACATGTTGCTGAGGAGGAAGAAGATTACCACCGGCAGCGTTGCGGAGACGGGCGGGTTCCAATTGTATTTGGCGCGGTTGAGGTAGAGGTGGATAAGGCCGGCCGCGACGAAGGTGTTGATTATGGAGAGGGGGTAGGAGATTACGCTGTGGAGTTAGGTGTTAGCTGATATACTTCATACTTCAAGGGATGGTGTCTAAGGGGCGGTTTCGTGGGACGGACTTAAGAATGAAGTTGTAGGCATCGCCCGGCGGAGGTGCTAACATGATAACGACAGAAACAACCCAGTGCTCGAACAGGCCTGCAAATGGCGCGTTGAAAGGTTTATTGCTCGACCAGAGTCGAGAGAAGGGAAGGATTCCCTCGCGGCCAAGTTCTTGAACCACTGTACATGATATTAGCCCCACTGTCTAAATTATACAAATTGATGGTGAAAGGTTCGGGGAAACGACATACAGCGGCCCTGCGAGAAAATGACGCTGAGCACGTTGCCGAATGCCGACAGCGCGACGAAGACGGACAGTGCTCTTTCGGCTTGAGGGCCGAAGACATTTCGAAAGAAAGATGCCGCAAGCACACGGCCGGAGGAAAGTATTTCTTCCTTTGGGACCGCAGCGAAATACGCAACCTATTCATCAACTGTGGTAAGCAGGGAAATCAATCACATTTTGGCGGAAGGGAGGGTTAGGGGAAAAGGACTCCACATACATTAACCAAGATGTACAAAATCGACACGAGCCCTAGCGCTAGAGGAGCAGCGATCTTCAACGTCCTCACTGGATTTTTCGTCTCGCTCAACGCATAATTGGCATTGCTGTACCCGATGAAGCTCCATATGACATTGTACAGCGCGGTGACCACTCCATATGCGCTTCCTGTGGTTCCCTCAAAAGCGTTCTCAAAATTGTTGGGCTTTTCGACTTTTAGCGCTCCCCCAAGGGCGGCCCAGCCGGCAACAACGATTACGATGATAACAAGGAGCTTGATTATGCCCAGAAGGTTCTGCAGTCGCAATCCCCATTTCATCGCAAGGCCGTGGATTAGAAAGGCGGCTGTGATGCAAGCAAGTCCGACGCCTCGCTGGTTCCATCGGTTTACCTCGATCTGGGCTGCGTGTAAGATGTACTCGCCAAATATGACTGAATTTGATCCCGCCCAACCTATTAATTAACTAGTCAGCAAGGGCAGGACTAGTTATAGGCGGGTGCCCTTTGTTTCGAGGACTGGAACGCTGGACTCGCTCACCTAGCAAAACGACGTAGCCTGTATACAAGCACGAGGTGAGGAACCGTGGCTTTCGAAAAACATATTCCAGGTAGTTTTTTTCTCCACCGTTTCGAGGCAGCCCGGTTCCAAATTCAATGTACACCGCCATGCCCGCGGCCGCGATGATCATGCCAGCAACCCATATGAACAAGCTCAATCCAACACTTCCTGAGAGCGCGAAGATGCTACTTGGCGTGGCAAAGATTCCCGTGCCAACCATGCGATTGAAGATGAGAAACACGGCCGATGTGAGTCCGATCTGGCGGCGGGAGGAACTCGTTTGATAAGAATCACCTACTTAAAGACCTAGTCAGTGAAGCTGTACCATATTATCCAACACGTTCGTCAATTTCAAATCGTTCACTTACTGTCTGGCTGTCCCTCCTCACCGGTCTGATAGCCTTCATTGAGGCTCTCGTTGCTTGACGAACGCCTTAACCCAGAGGTTAACCAAGTCTTTTCACCAGGCGGCATCTTAGGTCTATAAAGTAATCCACGCGTAACGCTGGAATATTATTTGGGGAAACGAACGACGTGATAAAGCAAGTGAGATAAAAAATAATTATATATGTAGGTCTATAAAACAACGAGCGAGAAAAGAAACGAGCGGTATCTGATAGATTGATAAAGATAGACCTCATGCCAGCGTTCCCATCACTAATTTTTGAGGTATTTTCAGGAGAGAAGATGCAATAATTAATGCAGAGACGCAATATCGACCTATGAAGAAGTCTAGGGATAAGGCGTGTTTGAACCTACAGAAGGCGGAATAATCACAGCAATGCAGTTTGCACATCATCGTGCCCATATCCATATAAACCAAAAATTTCAAAAATTTCAAAAAAAAAGAAGCTTTCTGAACTCCAACATCATGATGTCGTGATTTAGAGATTGAAAAACGCAATGAATTCGGTGGATGCGGACCACCATTTGCCCTGGTTTGTAGCTATCTCATTGGCCTGGGGGCGGGGGCAGCTGGGTCTGAAGCACCAGAAATCCACAGAATCAGGGGTCATCATGGCCGTGGTTGAGGCAAAAGTATCCAAGGATCCTTTTGTGTCCCTAGATAAAAATAGGAAAGGAGGCTGAAAAGTCAATAAAATTGCTTGGTTTTGTTTTGATATGAAATTATTTTTCTGATAGATTCTGAATATGTCCGAGGCAGGCGGCTCTTTGGTATCCTTCCATGATTCAATGCTCACAAGCCAGAACAAAAAGTAAGGAGTAAGTAAAAAAAAGAAATGGAGAGGCGATAGAAACTGGCATCGATATCG